TATATATATATATATATATATATATATATATATATATATGTATATATGTATATATGTATATATGTATATATGTATATATGTATGTATGTATGTATGTATGTATGTATATATATGTATATATATACATATATATTATATATATATATATATTTATATATATTTATATATATATATATATATATATATATATATATATATATATATATATATATATATATATATATTTATATATATTTATATATATATATATATATATATATATATATATATATATATATATATATATATATATATATATATATATATATATATATATATATATATATTAAAACAGTTAGGAGGTGATTTTTTATATTTAATATTTTTAAATATTTTAAATTAAAGAGAATTTGACTAAATTATAGATCAGATAGTTCAGTCCTGCTAATTAACCCATAATTAAGAGCCCCTAATGTGGACAGCTGTTGATGAAGTCAGCTTTTCTCTCTCTCTCTCTCTCTCTCTCTCTCTCTATATATATATATATATATATATATATATATATATATATATATATATATATATATATATATATATATATATATATATATATATATATATATATATATATATATATATATATATATATATATATATATATATATATATATATATATATATTTGGTATCTCGAACAATATTTTCGGTCCAAAGGGCAATTTTCTCTCGTTATCTCGAACTTTTCAACATTTTTTTTTTCAAAAATGTTTTAATAAAATTAAATTTTTTTTAAACTCCAATTTTCGAAAAAAAGAAAATTTAATTTGATTTTTAAATTCGATTTTTTTTAAGAATGGAATTTCTGAAATGTTTTCCTTGTATATATATATTAATTTATTCTTTTTGTCAAACGCAACAACATGCCGCTCATTCAACGAAAACTCACGAACAAATCTATAATAGAAAAATGCAAGGCATTAAAAGACCTAGAGACAGGGATGTCTAACAAAGAGATTTCCAAAATGTATGGAGTCCCAAAGAACAAATTATCAACCTGGATTAAAAATAAAACCAAGTTATTAACCTCACTATAAAAAAATGGCACAAAATCTAAACGGAAGAAACTTCGTAATGGTAATTTCAAAAATGTAGACAAGAACATATACACGTGGTTCGTTGCAAAAAGAAGTCAACAAGTACCAATTGATGGTACCATACTATAAGAAAAGGCACTAAAATTTGCAAAAGCATTAGGAGAGTTGGATTTTAAAGCATCTGATTGTTGGTTTCATAATTGGAAAGAAAGGTCAGTTAAATATTGTCAAATCTTGTTCAATTTTAATATAAACAAATAACATGTATCTGTTTATATTTAATTTATTTAGTTTTTTAAACGTGTAATTAAAATTCAATTATTCTGTTGCTATTTTTAGGAACAGCATCATCTTTAAAATAATCTTAGGCGAAAGTGCCGCCGTGACGAATAATATGACTGCTTCGTGGAATGAAACTACACTTCCAACATTGCTTTAGAATTACAAACTTTTTCAATGCCGATGAGTTTGGACTATTTTACCAGTGCCTACCAAACAAAACATACCATTTATCACAAGAAAAATGTTTTGGGGGAAAAAATAGTAAAGTCAGACTAACAGGCATAGCAGCAGGGAGTGTAATTTTTCTCCCGTTAGAGACTAACGGGAGAAAAATTACCTATGTTTGTTATTGGAAAATCTAAAAACCCACGGTGTTTTAAGCACATTAAACAACTTCCTTGCACATATAAAAATCAGCTAAAAAGTTGGATGACCGGAGACCTTTTTACAGAATGAGTAATGAAACTTGACTCATTTTTTTGTGCTCAAGAAAGGAAAGTAGCACTCCTGGTGGATAACTGTTCTGCCCACCCACACATTGAAGGGCTAAGCAACATCAACCTAATATTTTTCCCTCTAACACCACATCTGTCCTTCAGCCCATGGATCAAGGCGTAATACGAAGTCTTAAAGCTCATTATCGTCACAAAATTGTGCGTTTGTGTATCAAGGCTGTCGATAATAACGAATCCATGCCGAAAATTTCTATACTTCAAGCAATGAAAGATCTTGTTTCTTCGTGGAATGCTGTGTTGAAGGAGACTGTCATCAACTGGTTTAAAAAAGCTGGTATCAGCAAAACAAACAAGAGTATTGAAGAAACTGATGATGATCATCCTTTTAAATTTTTGACAGAAGAACTTAACCATTTGCGAGAGTTAGATCCTCGTGCCGTCCAAAAAGATCTCTCAGCGGAATCTTACATTGGTTTAGATTGCGATGTAGTAACCACCAGTTCACTTGCTACTGATGCTGAAATCATTCCTCAGATTATAGACCCTAATTTTGAAAACAACGATAATGAATTTGAAGATAGCATTGACGAAGCTATTGACGTTGAAGCCGCGCCACGCCCATCTAATATTCAATTAGAAATTGCTTTTGAAACGATTCAAAATGCTTTGCAATACAGCTCAAAATACGGAAATGAAATACAATCCCTAGCACTAAAACTTGAGGATTTAATGAAGATGGAAAAGATGGATAATTTAAAGCAATATCAGATAACAGATTTTTTCCAAAAGTTGTAGTTTTTGTTGTTAATGATTTTTGTCAGAAAAATAACTTGTTTTAATGAAAGTCGGGCAATTTTATTTATTTTCAACCCTTTTCTTGATATCTTGAACTCTCGATATCTCGAACTTTTTTTCCAGTCCCCTTAGTGTTCAAGATATCGAGAGTCGACTGTATATATATATATATATATAATATATATATATATATATATATATATATATATATATATATATATATGTATGTATGTATGTATGTATGTATGTATATGTATATGTATATGTATATGTATATGTATATGTATATGTATATGTATATATATATATATACATATATATATATATATATATATATATATATATATATATATATATATATATATACATATATATATATATACATATATCGATATATATATATATAAATATATACATATATATATATATATATATATATATATATATATATATATATATATATATATATATATATATATATATATATATATATATATATATATATATATATATATATATATATATATAGACTTAGAGTAGTTAAAAGAAGCTACTTCAGAATTCAAAATATTGAAGTAGATTTTGGATATCCATTAAGAAAAATATTTAATATCAAGGAATACTGGAAGTATTCCATGATATTAAATGTTAAAAAGATGAATGGCACATTATATAGTTGTAGACAGTAACTGATCTAACACTAGATACCAAAGGTTCAAACAAAACACAAACATTTATATAGTAACCTACAGATGAGTTAACATCCTACCAGAGACTCAGATAGAACACAAACATTTATGTATAGTAAATTACGAGCTAACACAGTAACTAAGATACCTTTACTTGAATCTATGCACAGCGACATTGTTTGCCATGGTTCGTATTTTAGAGTAAAAGAGTTGAGAGAGGGTAGTAAGGACAATATAAATTTAAAAAAAAAATAGCCATCTTTAGTGAAATGACAAAAATGAGTAAAGAACATTAAAAAAAAACAACAACAAACAAATATAGTAACTGGTTGCAACTATTATCAGTCTAGAATTAGCATTTTTATTGAGACATCTTTAACATTTATCTAACTACATAAGACTAGATTTTACTTACTTGAACTGTTTCTATATTTCCTTATTGTTTTACTGGTAATTCTATTTTTTAAGATAATCAGAGTGAAGGGAAGATTAGATAAATTATAAATTAAAAAAAATTAAAAGTATTAAAAAAAAAGAAGTGAAGTGCAGAGGCAAAATTAATGTCTATATCTAAAGCTGGACCAACAATAATCTCACAAGTACAAATAGCTGATTTGCTGGATACAGACCAAGAATATTTTTTTGAAGATCGAATAAAAGTTAGTTCAGTGACATTTTTGATGATGCGCTACTGTTAATGTTTGCAAACTTATATTATATTATGCTTGTGTTTATGTATTTTATTTTTCTTATGAAAATACCAGTAACAATTTTTCTTAAACCTCCTATCAAAAAAAATCATACTTTCAGCTAATACTAAAGGTACCATTCCTATTATGCTAAAAGATATTTATGTGAAAACAATCCTAACTAGTACAAAGTTGTCAGGTTTTTTTTGCTATGATTTTTTATTTTTTATTTTTTGTAGAAAAAAAAAATAACATGTCAAAGTTGTTGGTGAAATTGTATGTATCATACATGCAATGAAATATAATTGTGAGTTTGAGCATGGCTCAAAACTTCAATTGTATTTCAGAAGAAACATAAAAAACATAAAAATGAAAAGAAATTATTTTTCTTTTTTTCCACTATGAATGAACTTAACTAAATCATTAGTTTAAATGCACTTTTGTACTTTTTGGTGATAAAATACAACCATTTTGGCAGACCTAGTATTTCAAGCACCCCTTTCCAGTTTGTCAATATTGAGTTACGTGAAACAAAGATTTTAAAACCATATTTTAAAAACTAAACCCTAACCTTATTTGGTTTGGTTAGGTTTTGCTTTTCAATAATATTTATTTACTATAGCTTATGCTTATGGATTTATCGGTAAAATAAATAGAAAAATTAATATTCCAAAATATATTAAATGTAGAATTTTTATTCTTAATATCTAAATTCAAATTGACCATAATTGAGTTCATAATTGAGTTAAACATGTATAAAGTAAAAGTTATAAGTATTATTATTAAATACAAAATTGTATTTGTAATTTTATAAATGTACTATAAAGTGGTCAAATATCTTTATTGTTTAATAATGCTACAATTTCAAATTCAATTTACTTGAAAAACTTTTTTTATATGAAAAAATGGTCTTGTTCTAAGATTATAATGTATTAAACAAAACATTATTATTTTTACAACTATACAATAATTAAATATTGTACAATATTAAAAATTGTAAAAAAAAAATTCAACAAACTAATTCTTTTATTTTCCATTCCTCAAGAACATGCTTTGAAAAATTAAAGTATTCAGGAACATCTAACTTGAAGTTTTTATATTCTTTTTCATAATTGTTGAATCCAACATTAAAATTTGACGATGCTGATCTCGATAAAAACAATCTCAACAATTTGTTTCTCGATTGATTCCAAAAATGTTTCATACAAATAGCCATTTTCAGTTTCTAGGCCACGACCTTAAATTGAAAAGATTTTTTTTTTAAATAGTCTGAAATTATGATTACAACAAAAAGACGATAAACTAGAACTATTTCGTGTTTTTTTATGTTTTTAATTAAATGTTTACTAAACTTAATAAAAAGAAATTGCGTCTAATCACTAACGGACGCACGTGTTTTTTTTTTTGTTTTTTTCGGCTAAATCATTTTCACCAAGGCTCCTAGTAACCTAAATTTAGGTTAGCAGTTAAGGTGAGTTTCCACTCATCCGTTTTTTCACGGGAACGGGAAAAATAATCACGTGAGCATGCGTAGTTTTTCTTCAGACATATTAAAAGTTATTCTACGCATGCCCACGTGATTATTTTTCCCGTCCCTTTCCCGTTCCCGTGAAAAAACGGATGAGTGGAAACTCACCTTAAAATTTAAAGATAAATTTTAAAAGAAATACTATTTTTAACTAGAATTATATTCATCGATAAATTTTAAGTTTTATAGTATTATCTCTTAGCGTTTAAAAACTTTAAAGTTTAAATTTCCCTTAATTTGAGGGGGTTACAAATTTTGTAGGATCATATTTATTGAACGCTGAGAGATATGAAACTTGAATTTTATTTTTTCTTAATTTATATATTCACAAAATTTAAAATTTATCTATATCAATAAATTTTAAACTTCCTAGTATAATCAGCGTATTCGTAGTATAATCAGCGTAGTATATTTTAGCGTTCAAAAAATTCGATGCATAGAAAAGGAAAACGATGGAATTCGGTGCATAGAAAAGGAAAACGATGCATAGAAAAGGAAAACTTCCTCGTTTAATGCTCATTCGTGGTACTCTGTAACCAGGTAGGTCATTTTGGAGCACATTAATAATTTGAAATAAACAACCATAAAAGTTCCTGAAGTACTGTAACCACTATCTCGGTAAAGCCATGAAAACTTTTACCGTGACTGCAGTATTACCGTATTTTTCTGAAACAAATTAATAATTACCGTGTTAAGCTCGGTACTACCGCATTTTTTGTTCGCGTCACATAATCATTCGGACTTAAAAAAAAGGTTGTAATATAATAACCGGACGAATTTGGAAAAATTAGATTGTCTTCTAGAGTTATAAAACTTACTATTATTTATATTAAGTTTGAGTGTTATTATATTGATTTGACGTGTAGTGCATATGTTGCATCATATGATAATCAAAGGAAAAAAAATGTTTTTTTTTTGAAATTTACTGATGATTGCGATTTTCAAGTATTACAAAATTAATATTTTTTTTCTTTAAATTATATTTTCACTTTTTTTTTCTTTAATATGTCATTTTTTAAGGGTCATATGCTCATGGCTGTTAAACTTGGAAATATTGTTCAATTTTGGAAACAAAATGTTTTTGTAGTTGGAAAGTACTTTCATGTTATTTATCGAAATAACTCTTTTTTAAAAGACGGGCCTGATTTAAAAGATTTTATTGAGAATGCATCTTCAGAGGAATTAGTTCGTAAACCTGGAGCAAAGAGAATAAGGTTACCTCCCTGGCTAAAAACTGAAATTCCTGCTGGTAAAGATGTTTATAGATTAAAAAACACTCTTCGATCAATGAACTTATCAACAGTGTGTGAGGAAGCAAAATGTCCAAACATTGGTGAATGCTGGGGTGGTAAGGAAGGCACTGCTACTGCCACAATCATGATTTTAGGTATTTTCTATATTATTTTCTTTAAAATTTTATATAATGGAAAAAAAATTAGTAATAACAACAATGCTTTTTTTTATATATTTAGGTGATACATGCACTCGAGGTTGTAGATTTTGCTCAGTAAAAACTTCACGTCAACCACCTGCTCTTGATCCTAATGAACCTATAAATACAGCTAAAGCAATTTCAAGTTGGAATTTAAATTATATTGTTATCACTTCTGTTGATCGAGATGATTTACCTGATGGTGGTTCAAGCCACTTTGCAAAAACTGTGCAAGAAGTAAAACGACTAAATCCTAATCTAATTGTTGAATGTTTAACACCTGATTTTGCAGGTGAAAAGAAGCTTATTTCAACAGTTGCTAGTTCTGGTGTAGATGTATATGCCCATAATATAGAAACAGTGGAAAGCCTAACATGGTTTGTGCGCGATCCTCGTGCAACATACAAACAAAGTTTAAGTGTCCTAGAACATGTAAAAACCAATTTTCCCAAAATATTAACTAAGTCTAGTATAATGGTAGGTTTTGGTGAAAAAAGAGAGGAGGTTGTGACAACAATGAAAGATCTAAGAAATGTTGGTGTGGACTGTATTACCATAGGACAGTATATGCAACCAACAAAAGGTCATGCTAAAGTTAAAGAGTATGTTCATCCAGAAGTATTTAAATCCTGGGAGTTAATTGGAAATGAATTAGGGTTTGCATATACTGCAAGCGGACCTCTTGTTCGTTCTTCATATAAAGCTGGAGAATATTTTTTAGAAAATTTAGTAAAGCAGAAACAGAGAAATGGATGATATTTAAAAAATATTTTAATGTTATTTTTTGTTTTTATGACATATTTTACTTATATATTTTTATTAAAAGTTTTGTTTCAGTCTTGAGTTGTTTTTCCTTGGTTTTATTCGAATTATCTCTAATTCTTTTTTTAATATTAAAATTGTATAAATAAATAAATTATAATGGTTTTCTATCCTAGCTAGTTTTTGCAATCCCAAAACTAACAGTTTTTTCTGTCTTGTCTCTTGACAAATTTTTTTTATGTATTTAGCTTGTTTTTCAGAAATTGTTCAAAATTTTGTAAATATTAAATTTAAAATGGTTTTTAATATAGCATCATGTAACAATATCTCTGAGGTTTCAAAAAGGTTTACAAACTGTTTTTTTTTTTACTATTATCACAAACTATATTTATAATATGTAACTATAATTACAATAAAAAAATTTTATCAAATAAAAGTTTTCATTTCAGTTCTTTATACTTTTATTAAATTTATATAAAATATTTTTAAATTTTTCAGTTTTTTCAAAATTTATATAAAAAAGTTATTATTTATAGAATACTAGCTATGGAGCTAGATTTAGAAAATCTTTTTAAATTTTTCAGTTGCTTTTTAATGCTATTTTAATAGATTTTTTGTTTTGTTTTAAGCTTGTTTGAGGTAATGTTTATGACAGTTTTTCCGGTACCGCTGACTGAGAGTTTTGTGTTTGCATATTTTCAGTACTAAGTATGGCCTTATCTTAGATACGCACAAACTTTTTTTGAAATTTTAGAAGAAGACAAAAAACAAAAAATTAAGGTAACTAACCTTAATTTATCATTTATTAAAAAATGCATAACTTCATAGAAGCTTTTGCTTAGTTATACAAAACCTTTATTGACTATACTGTCGTGCTAAGCAAAAAATCTAAGTAAATTTGTTGGGAGATTGACTAAACAGGTTTGAACACATTACTAATCTGTTTTAAAAATAAGCATTGAAATGTTTTGAAAATAAGCGAAATAACTTCACGTCACTTACTGCTCATTTGTTCTTACATGGACTCACTGTTTATTTCCTTAATTTCAAATACTCATTTTTAATGTTAATATTAAATATCCTGCTTTTTTACTTCGAAAACTGGTACAAAACCACATTGTTAACAAAATCTCAATTTTAACCTAAATTGGAAATACCGCTTTTTTTTTGTTGTATAAAAGTTTTTATTACAACAGTTATTAAAAAGTATTTTTTTTTTTTTTTGGTTTATATCGTGTTACAGTTTACAATTATATAAATCGTAATGCAATTATATAAGTTTCTGATAGAAGATCTCATTGATCTTGTCGTAAGAACCTTTCAAAAGCGTAAAAGCAACAACAGCAAAAATAAATAAAAATTTAAATATTATACAGTGCGTTATTGCATATTAGAAGTAATTCATTATATCGTTTATAGAAAAAATAAAATTTTTTAGTTTATTTCTAAAAAGTTCAAATAAAGTTGATAAATCAAAATTGTTCAAAACCAGTTTTGTTCCAGAGATAAGGTGCACGATATCCAATTCAACGCTGATTAAACTTTGTACGACAAAGTGGTTCATTTAAAAAATTTTCATTTCGCAAAATATATTTGCTTATTTTTTTGATAAAAAAATTATTATTAACTTCGTAGAACAGTTACGTAATGCTAAGGTTTGATGCAAATAAATTTGTATCATCAGCAAACATGATGTTTTTAAGTTTTATACTTTATTTATATCATTTGCATAAATTAAAAAAAGAAGAGGCCCAAGCATCGAACCTTGAGGAATACCCCAAGTTATCTGAGTCATTTCGTTTTTGCGTCTGTTATTGACGGGGACATTGTTTTTTATTTGTTAAATAGCTTTTATACAAATTTAAAAGATTGTTATTTATCTCATAATATTTGAGCTTTTGCAGTAAAATTTCATGATCGACGGTATCAAATGCTTTTGATAGATCAATAAATACACCTAATGTGTAATGCTTTCTATCAAAAGACTCAGAGATTTGCTGGAGAAATTGAATAATTGCGTGTTCCGTTGAAATGCATTTTTTAAAACCAAATTGATTATTATTTAACAGTTTATTATCATTAAGATATTTATATGATCTATTATAATATATTTTTTCACTTGCAGGAGATTTTGTTTTTAGATTTTTTATATATAATTTTTGTTTTGTTCTGGAGGATTTCTTTAGTCATTTTGTAATCCAGGGACTGTTTAATGTTTTAGTATTTATTCTTTTTTTCCAAACTGGAAAGTTTGCTTCATACTCTGAGTAGAAAGTTTCAAAGAATTTATTATAAATGTTGTTTGCGTTATCGTTAAAGTCAATATGCTCCTAATGTATGTAGCTCCCGTTACTTTTTTTTCTCCACTTTTGAGTATTAAAATTACAGATTTTCTGTAATTTTAATACTATTTTAATTGACTGTAAAATATTAATATACAGCGGCACATAATGAACACAAATTAACAATGTAAATTAAATTTTAAAAGTACAAAAAAAAGTACCTTTTATCTAATACATTATTTGGAATGAAAACAAAATTCAAATGCAGTATATTCTTAAGTAATACTAAAAAAAAGTGGTACAGGTTTATGGCTTTACCAAAGTGGAAATCTTCAATGTTTCCATAGTGCCTCAATTGAATTTCAAAACATCTCAACGTTCAAGAGTTACTTGATTTTTCTTCCAGATTCCAAGTTTATATGTTTATATTACATGTAAATCACGACATGTAAATAATGTAAACTAAAAAAAAAAAATTTTTGTACATCCTGTTATTTTAAAATAGCTAAATAGTAATTTGTCCTAATCTTAATGAAAAAAAGTGAGGCCCATCCCCTTATTTTGCATGAAGCAGAAATGTTTCAAGACATTCTTTCGATTACAAAACTTGATTAACTAAAATATAATTTCCGCTTCTTTCCTGAATTTTGAGCATAATCGGCAGCAACCCGCAGTGTTCCAATTCATCCCAATAATACATACTTTTTCATATAAACTTGAAATCAAAAAGTATATACGTAAACTTTAGGTGTATGCTTTGTAATTTCTCACAGTTCCATTAAATTGCTTATGCAACAATTTGGTATAATTTTAAATTGTTTAGGGATCGTTCATCAATTATGCAACGCTAAACTTATAAATAATAGAAGCAATTTTTTTGCGCGGCGATTTTTTATCACTATTTTAAATTTTGGTGTAGACTCTGGAAAAGAAAACTTTTTTTTTGTTGTTAGCTAAATTAAGCGTCGAGTAATTTATGAACAATCCATTGCCTTAATATAAAAGTGAATAATAACACCTGACCCGATTAAATATGGACAAAAAGAAAAAATTTAATAACTTTTTATCGGATAAAGATTTTTTATTTCGGAATAGTATGCATTATTGGGATGAAAACATAATTATAGATAAAAAATATTATCATTCAAATAAAAAAAAGAATTATAAGTTTTGGATTCCATTTTGCCGAGCTGCATCAACTTGAGTAAAAGACAATCTTCCAAATCGTTGTACTATATTTGGATCTAAGTTTTTAAAGCAGTAGTCAATTCTATTACGAAGTTGTTCCAAATTTTCAGCTTGCCAGCATTTAGTATAAACTGTTTGTTTGATTTCACTCCAAAAATCTTCGATCGGTTTAAGTTCTGGAGTGTTAGCAATAATTCTCTCTTTTGGTACAAATTCGATGTTTTTTGAATTTAAGAACGCTTGAACTTTTTTTGAATAATGTGACGATGCTAAATCAGGCCAGAAGATTACATTATTATTTTTATGGTACTGTTCAATAAATGGAATTAATCTAGATCTTAGGCACTTATCTAAGTAAACATCTTTGTTAATAGCTTGACCCGATGGTACAATGAAGTGTTTTGACCTACCTTTAGGAGACAATGCTACCCAGACCAACAATTTAGGTTCAAACTTTTGAACTCTTTTATGTTTGACTTCATTTGACGTATTGTCACGATCGCTCGAATAATATCCTGAATTTTCAGACAACTCGAAGTTGCTCAAATCGAAATAAAACTCATCATCAACTATGACTTGTTTTTTGCGAAAAAGCTTGGTAAGTTGATAGCATTTTGTACGCGCAACCTCTTTTTGCTTAATAGTTCTTTTAGGAGCTTTTTTCTTTTTGTAATATTTGATGTTTGTCTTCTGTTTTATCGTTCTAAATATTGTTGATTTAGACACACCAAAGTTTTTGGCAAGAGCACGTTGGCTAATTCGATGGTGATGATCAATTGAATTTTTGCTTTGGTCATTTTTAACACCGGTGGTTTACTTCTAACTTTCTGTTCAGGTTGTATTTTATTTTCCATTCTTTTTAAAATATTATAGCAGGTTGATCTAGGAATTTCTTCCTCTTGAAAGTGTTTAACAATCTGTGGTTTAGACAAATGGTTTTTAACGAACTAGGACATAGTTTTTCTTATATTTTTTTTCTTTTGATGTGTTAACTTTAACCATTTTAATAAAATTCAAATTTCAAAATAATTTCATATTAAAGAGAATTAAATTCTCTTCAAAATGACATATCACATCATGTGATAAAGTTATTAACAAATTAAATAAGAATGACTTGAAATTTGTCCAGATTTAATCGGGTCAGGTGTTATTAAGTATAGGTATATGATACTCAATCAAAAAATGATACAAAAGGTTGTTGTTGTTTTTTTAAGACAAAAATACTCTCAAAAAGGTATTTAGAAGTGAATGGAATGCCAAAAAATTAAAAACAGAAGCTATAGTTCAATTTTCTCGAAAATACTTTTATAGTATTTGGTAATTTTAATATGATACTATACCTTTTCCAGGAGAGAACAAAATTTGTTTAAAAATCTCCCTTTAGCAAACGCTAAATATTAATTAACCTAATTAACGAGTACATTACAAATAAATTTCAATAAATATTTAATAGATTTTTTTGATTTTAAAATTATTAAGGAAGAGGGAATTAAGTTATTTTACATAGATTTAGTAAATTTAGTAGATTTAGGTAATATGAGCATACCAAAAGATTTCAAGGATGTGAAGTTCAAGTTGCTTTGTATTTTTTGAATTGATTCAAAAAAGTTTTGTTGTGATAGCTAAAAGCTTTATAATTAGCGTAAAACGCAGTAATTGGTGGATCTCATCTAATTTAAATGCTATTCTATTTTTTGTTTTGTTAAAATATTATTATTATTCGTGAAAAAAATAGTGTCGTGAATTGTTGAAGTATAGATAATGTTAGCTAATAATCTGTTCCATTATGGTTTGGAAAACAAAGCATTTAACTTTATTTTAAGATATTTTAAAACCGTTTTCGTGTAATATGCTTAACTTACCCAGAATATTTCAGTGAAATTACTTTCACTGAAAATTTAAAGTGCTTTCGCTACTTTTTTAAAAGCTCTTTGTTTTTAACGTCAATACAGTATAATTAAATTAAAAATACTCAAAAGACTCTAATTAATTTTAATGTTCATATAAAATATAAATACAATTATTGATATAAATATAAAAACTGATATAAATATTGATTTATTGATCTCCTTAATAAATTTTAATTGGTAGATATTTTTAGCTTCATTTTGATTCAAAAAATAATAAAGATGAAAAAACTCGATTTTAAAAATTTTGACTATTATCCTATACACTAATATTGTTTATATACTAATATCGTTAATATACTAATACTGTTTGCGAAATATGAAACGACAACCAAAATGCTAATCACTGTTCAAGGGTTTAATTGTTCGATCTCGAAAGATGGTAATGACAACTTTTAAAGGTAATAGGTAATTATCGTTTGTTTATAATATCTTTGTTGCCAAGAACAGCTACACCACAAGCAGCACGGGATGTAATCATTTCTTGAGAAGGCATCCAAGTGTCGTTTGAAGGGTCATAGTATTCTACACTATTTAAATAAGAGGGTCCATCAATTCCACCAATCGCAAAAATATAGCCACCATAAGATGCCAAAGATACGCCATCACGACATGATGTCATCGGAGAAAGACAAACCCATGTGTCAGTATTTGGATCGTATTTTTCAACCAAATTTAAACGCTTGATTCCATCGTAGCCACCTAAAAAAACATACGTTACATATATATATATATATATATATATATATATATATATATATATATATATATATATATATCTATATACATATATATATATATATATATATATATATATATATATATATATATATATATATATATATATATATCTATATCTATATCTATATCTATATCTATATATATATATATATCTATATATATATATATATATATATATATATATATATATATATATATATATATATATATATATATATATATATATATATATATATATATATATATATATATATATATATATATATATATATATATATATATATATATATATATAAATTAGTTAAATATAGCAGAGAAAATCTCTTGTTTTAGGAATGTTTCTGTTCTCATGGAGTAAGTAAATTAGTGAAATTAATGAAATAATGAACGCTGATGACTATATCAGCATCCTTAAGGTTGGATATTTTAATTGGATATATCACTTCAAAAATGGGGCAGAACTATATGCAACACGATGTTCATGCAAGTCAACGACTCCAAGCATTAGTCTGATAAGACTATTAAATTCATTCATAAGAAAAAATTAAAAGTCGTTAACTAGTCAGCACAAAGTCCTGATCTTAACCCACTCGAAAAGCTATGGGAAATATTTAAACAACATGTCTTTATCTCATTCCACATAAGAAATATTTTTAGTCTTAAATAAAAACCTAATCAATAAAATTTCATTTTTCTTCACACCTTTTCTATTAAAAAAAATAAATGTTTTTTTGTTTAAAAATGGTAATAGTTTTGTCACATACTGTATATAATTTTATTAGAGCAATTTCATTAGAGCAATTTTATTAACTATTTAAAATTTTGTGATATTTGTTTGATATCAGGATGACATTTGTTTTTTAATATTAGAAAGTTATACAACTTCTAAAATAAGCTGTATTATTTCAGTAAAAAATAAATTTTACTTTTAAATGTAAAAGAAAATGAGTTAAGTGAAAAAAAAGAAAAAAAAAAAGAGTTCTATTTTAAAATGTAGCATATACTTTATAAGAAATGAAAAAAATTAACCACAAAGAAATACATAAAACAAAAATCACAAAGAAACAAGAATGGGTAGATGTTATAATTTATTAAGTTCAATTTTTAACAATAATCATATTATTAAAAATATCATTCAGGTTGTTCCATGGACAAGGTCCAACATGGACCACGTCAGACTTTGATAAAACTTTGAGGGTTAGTTTGTATTAACAAAAAAAGCAAATCCTGAAAATTTCAACGTAAAACTTTTTGTGGTTCAAAAGATATAGTTATTTGAAAATGCTGATGTTTTTAAAAAACCTCAGCATTTTATAAAATTTTTACCACAACACAAATTTTTCCACTTATTAATAAAAACCATTTCTTTTTTAACAAATAAAACAACAATACATGTTTTGACTGTTTTATAGTTTTCTTCAGTTGGTTTAAAAAAACTTATTTAATTTTATATACAAATATTCTATGGTAATAAAATTACAATATTTTATTAATTACAACAAAATAGACAGTAGAAAAAAAATAAAAAAGATATTAAATTATTTGACAAAAGGTTAACGACTAATAAAATGGTATCTATTATGTAAAAAGAGATATCCGATAATAATTCAGCTGTTTGTTCATATCTGGATCATTCAATGAACAAACTTTCCTTAAGCTCAAATTTATTGCAGGCAGAATCCCAATATCGAGAAATTATTATAACTATTAACAGTCATTATTATAATTATCAAAACAATTATTGTTAACATGGAGATGTGCGTCCTGGGCATACAAATTTATAAACAATGAATTATTTAAACTCTGCAGAAAGAGGATCTTTTGGTGAAAACATATTAGAAATTTTGAAAAAAATAAATATTAAATTAAAGCTTATAAGTTTACAATGTATTTTAATGATAGAGTTTAAACTTTGGTTTGATCAGATATATTACCAACAAAAAGTGAAGTAGTTTTTCATGTCTTAAAACTTGAGATGAAACTACAAAAGGAAGTATGAAGGTATGAAAGTATAAAAGTCTGAATACATTTTCTTATGAAAAATGGAGGTACATAAGGAACTATTTACTTTGTTTATGTTAATTTACAAGAATAAGATATTAGATTCCTATTCCTTTTCTATGGTAAAAGATATTGAATTATGTCTTTTATCGATATAGTCAAGTTAATTTATAAATTTTCTGCTGGGAATGAAAATTTCATCAACATGTTTATTAACTATTGACTTGACTGGGTAATTTCAGACATTTTTTAAAATGACCCATAAATAAAATAGCAAAAACAGGAGCGAGTGGGGAGCCCATAGAAACAACATCTATTTGGTCAAAAGTCTGTTTTTTAAATTGAAAATATGATTACAATGTTGCAAAGATGAAGAGTTTCTTTAAATCAGTTTTGTTAATTTTAAGATTGTCATTACTGTTTAAATTGAATTAAAAGCAATATCAATGGTTTCTCAAAGAGTTAATTAAGTGTATAGGCTTGTGACATCATAAGATACTAAGTATTTTCCATGAATGTTAGCTTTACATTGTTTACAAAACTAAATGAATCTTTTGTAAAAAAATTCTGAAAGTATTATAGGTGATAGTACATCTCTTAAAAGCTTAGCTAATTGATAATTGTAGATGCCAATTGACAAAACAATAGGTCTGAAACTTAATTTCGAATTTTCAGACAAAATTAATGCATTTTTGGGAGACCTTTAACTTTTATTATTCATTAATCTTTTGTTAAATAATTTAATATCTTTTTTATTGAATTTTTTTTAATAAAAAATTGTAATTTATATTTTATTACTGTAGAGTATTTGTATATAAAATTAAATAAGTTTTGTTAAACCCAACTGAAGATGACTATAAAATAGTTGAAATATGTATTATTGTTTTATTTGTTAAAAAAAAAAAGGTTTTTATTAATTAGTGGAAATATTTTGTCCTATTTTTCAATTGTTCTAGCCTTCACATAAGAGGCATGTGGTTTGGCGCCTTATATGACCACGCATATAATACTTTCTTTTGACAACTTGGCCATGACTCTTTGCAAGTTTTGACAATTAGTGCTTTTAAAAAATCTGTTGAAAAAACAAAGCAAACATAAATGCGATTTTTAGTTTAATTGATTCCATAATTACAATTAAACTGCTACAAAATTTCCTGAGTACTTTATTGCAATGTAATAAAATTCGATCATTGAAAAAAAGATAAAATATTTTATTTATAATAAATGCATTTGCAAGCGCAAAAACCATGCTAAAACATAACTACTTTCTTCAGTTATTTTACTGAAAAGTAAGGCTATTGAAAAAAGTAATTATGTTCTGGCATGGTTTATTTAATGTTTCTGAAATTAATTATTATTTATCTTAAATATTTGCTTTTTATAATAAATAAAAAACTATTAATCACAAAATTATTTGGAAAAAAAATTGCTGAAGTAAAAAAATTGTGTTCGTTTTGAAAAATCTTAATCAAATGCCATTGTTTGATTAAGCAAAATTAAAGCAATGGGTTGTTCGTTTTTCTGTCTGTTTTTTAACGAACATGCACACGTTTCTTGATTTGTCATTCCCTGTATCCTATTAACTTTTTAATAGAATTTTAAATTTGCACCATAAAATTTTATTAAATTTCATGGCACTTTTAAACAGCCTAATTTAATTACATTTTTAAACATCATACTGTGTTAAATATATTGATTTCTAAAAAAATAAATATAAAATATGAGGGGGAGAGATCGCTTCCCCTCACAATATATCCACCCTTGTATTAGTCTATTTATTCATTGGAGGGAATGATAAAGATTGATAGAGCTGTGATGAATTTTTTTTTTAACTTTTATTTACGGTTAAGTTTTAATTGAATGTTTTAATTTTTTCTGGTTTTTCTACTATTTATTTTGTCATTCTTTAAAATTTTTAGTTTAATTTTTGTTAATTTACCATAAATATTTTTTATGATTTTATTTTCTTTTATGTTTAAGGATTATTTATTTTAATTTAAGTTTGCTTTGTTTTTTTAGCGCCTTTTTTAAAAGCGCTAAAAAAACAAAGCAAAACTTAAATTAAAATAAATAATCCATATTTAAAATAAATAATCCATATTAATTATTAAAACTTGCAAAGAGCTGTGGCCAAGTTGTCAAAACAAAGTATTATATGTGTGATCATATAAGGCGTGCCACCGCATGTCTTTTACGCGATGGCTTGGATATAAAATCTTATTGTAAAACCATATTATTACTTTTACTTTTACTAAATTTTACCGATTTCATTGAATGATTTATTACTTTTACTTTTATTAATGAAGATTATGATTTAAACTTTAATATTTTAATTTATTTTATAAATCAGAGCACAATAAAGCATCAATAATAAATAAAGCACAATATAATTATAAAAAAACAACCACTAATCACAACAGTCTAAAGGAATTTAGCGATTTTTAAATTATAATATACTTATAATAATTTAGCGATTGTTACATGATTCTTCATCATGAAAAGACAATTAGATAATAATTACAGTTGTTAGATAATAATTGTTAGATAATAGTTGTTTGATAATAGTTGTTAGATAACAGTTGTTAGATAATAATTACAGCTTTTTCAAATCTTATAACATACTAGCAACATGTCGCTAATATATTATAAGGCTAAATGCAGCGTTCTCATATTTATGGCCATGACTATATATATATATATATATATATATATATATATATATATATATATATATATATATATATATATATATATATATATATATATATATATATATATATATATATATATATATATATATATAAAATATATATATATATATATATATATATATATATATATACATATATATATATATATATATACATATATATATATACATATATATATATATATATACATATATATATATATATATATATATATATATATATATATATATATATATATATATATATATATATATATATATATATATATATATATATATATATATATATATATGTATGTATGTATATATATACATATTATATATATATAACTTTTAAACATCTTTGCTTCCAACAAGGCTGCAAGCAACCACTAATTAGAGTTGAAAGTTACTGGAAGAAAAAAAATGATAAAAAATAATCCCTGAAATCGAGACAAAAAGTAATACAATAAAACCCAAACACACCTGCTACATACAAACATCCATCAAGCACAGCGCAACCAACCCCAGCACGGCCATTATTCATGGAATTTATTGTACACCATTTATCTGTATGAGGATCATAACATTCACATGTGTCAAGAAATGTGCTTCCATCATTCCCACCAATAACATAAAGTAAATCATTTAATGATGCAACACCTAGAATCACAAATTTAGAAGTCTAGGGGATAAATCATTTCAAGCAAAAAATTATTGTCATTATTGATTTTTTCTTTAGCTATCCAAATAAAAAAAAAATTTTATTGCATTTTTTTTGAGAATATTAAATAAATAAATAAATATATATATATATATATATATATATATATATATATATATATATATATATATATATATATATATATATATATATATATATATATATATACATATATTATAATAACTCTAAGAAAACTAACGCCAATATAACAGACAACTTTAAAATAAATCCATTTTATTAGTAAATAATAACTTTTGTACTCATACGCTTTAATTTTTATTAAAACGTATAAAGAAAGAAGCATATTATTTTATATTCACGTGTGACATATATATTATATATATGTCAAATGTATATTGTGTGGATATATATGTATATTGTATGTATATATATGTGTATATATATATATATATATATATATATATATATATATATATGCATATGTACATATATACATATGTATATATGTACGTATGCATATATTTATGTTTTCTTTTTCTTTTCTTTTTTTTTAACATCTTCACTTTCAGCAAGGCTGCAAGCAACCACTATTAGATTTGGAAGTTACTGGAAGAGAAAAGATGAAGATTGTAGAGAAAGATGACGATTGACAGACACCTTAGATATTATATGAATCAGAAAAGCAAAAAGAAGGAAGTGAATTCCAAAGAACTGATGTTTGTGGAAAAAAACTCAACAAATAAGAGTTTTCGGAGCATTTAGGAACAGTCACAGATTGAATGACGAGTAACACAAGAACGAATTTTAGTAGATGGAACAAGAGACACTAGCTCTTTAAAGCAGTGCCTATTATAGTATTTGTAGAAAAGAGAAAGACAAGCAACATTACCACAATGTGATAATGGTTGGAGCTTGGCTGAAAGAACAGGTCTGACTATGTTTACAATGCACTTTTGCACCTTGTTTAAAAGAGTAACGTCATCATTAGAAGATCCGCCCCAGATATAGCAATAGTATTCCATACAAGGCTGGATTTGAGATTTATAAAGATAGAGAATAGAATCTGAAGTAAGAAAGTGTCAAGCTCGATAAAGAGATGCAACCTTAGCAGGTGCTAATTTTGCAACAGGTTTGATATATAGTTTCCAAGAAAGATCAGAAGTAAGAGTTAATCCTGGAAAATGAAAGGTAGATGACTCATCAAGTACATTACCGCTAATAAATATAGGAAGATCTAAATTATTGCAATAACAATTGGCTGAAAAAAATGGAGTTTTATCTGAATTACAGTTCACCAGCCACTGTGAGTCCCTGGCTGTAGTAGAAGTGAGATTTTCAAGCTCAAACGCCTCTTCCAAGCAATCAGAGAGTGTTAGCTTCTTATCATGACAAGAATAAATGGTAGTATCATCAGCAAACAATGCCAACTTAGATGTGAGATAATCTGAAAGATCCTTAGTGTAAATTAAAAAGAGTATAGGGTCAAGGATAGAACATTGAGGAACCCCTGAAGTTACAGAATATGAAGAAGAGTGCTGTCCACCGAGAACAACTTTTATACTACAATTAGAAAAAAAGGATTCAATAATCTTAAAGATGTTACCAAATAAACCGTAAGAAGAAAGCTTATGGAGAAGACCAGCATGCCAAACTTTATCAAAAGCTTTAGAAATGTCAAGAACAATGGCCTTAACCTCTCCAACATTATCTAATGCTCGATAAAACCTATCGGTTATTACTGTTAGCAAATCAGCTGTAGAACGAGAAGATCGAAATCCAAATTGATGGTCAGAAAGTAAGTTATTAGATTCAAGATGAGAGATTAAGTGTTTGTTAATTAAAGATTCAAAAACCTTGCTTATGATAGGAAGAAGACTAATGGGATGGTAGTTAGATGAATCGAATCGCTCTCCAGAATTTTTGAAATTATGGTTAACATATGCCACTTTCCAGCAGGCTGGAATACAAGACTCTGATAAGCACTTGTTAAATAGTTTTGAAAGTATAGACAATAGCTCTGGAGAACACTTCTGCAAGACTATAACAGGTATGTTGTTCGGACCACAAGCTGTAGAAGAGTCTAAGCGGGAAATCACTTTAGATACAGAAGGTGGAGTGATACGAATGTCAAACAATGGATCAACCTGTTTGATGGCAAAGTCAGGTAGAACGCAACTAGTGGAATCAAGAGATAATATTAATGAAAAGTTTTTAGCAAACAATTTAGCTTTATCTTTAGGCGAGGTGACAAAATCTGAACCATGCAAGAGAGGTAGAATAACAGATTTGCCCTTATTATTGATACTGTTAAAGATTCTCCAGAAGTCACGAGAGCCTAATTTTTGTGATGAAATACAAGATTTCATGACTGAGAATAGCGGGCTTTGGTATTAGACAAAACTTTTTTACAATGGTTTCTAGCAGTAATAAACAGACGTCTGTTTTCTGGAGAATTGTTTTGATGATAGATATGGAAGTAACAGTTTCAATTGGAAATTGCAGCAGCACAATGTGAGGAAAACCATGGAGAAGAGTAAGGCTTAATCTGGTATCGTCAAGAGGTAACAAAAGATTCCATACCAACCTGAATCCAGGTAGTTATGTAAGAAGTACATTTATCAGCAGGAAGATGAAAGATTTCTACCCAAGGGCCTTCACAAAGAAAACCACGGAAAGAGACTCAGTCAGCTTTAAGAAAGTTGTAAGAGGTACTATGATAGGGGGATCTAGATGATGAAGAAGAATAAGATAATAGTTTTAGAGAGATCAAACCGTGATCAGAAGCACCAAAAGGTTAATGTGGAGAAACTGTGCACTGACTAGGATCAGAAACAAGACATAAGTCGATTAGAGAAGGTAAATGATTCGGGTTGTCTGTAAAGCAAGTTGGAAAGTTGACTATTTGTGTTAGGGTAATCCCTAATAGAACTGCTGTTATGCGTTTAGATAAAGAAATAACGAAAGTGAGGATAGTGTTTGATGTATCTTCAAAATATGGTAAACATCCCTAACTAAATGACTGTCTTCATTCTGGTCCCTGTTTATTGACCTTGTTATATAATATATTAGTTTGATTTAGACTTCACAAGATTGCTTTAACATCGGACATCAAAGAAGCATTTTTAAATATTGGTATTAGTCCCTCAGATCAAGACTACTTACGTCTTATTTGGTTTGACGAATTTCAAAGAATCCACAGAAAATAATATTTCGCTTTAAACGTGTTGTTTTTGGATTAACATGTAGTCCATTCCTACTCAATGCAACAATACGAGAATATTTAAAAAACCATGTTAAAGAATTTGAGAGTTTTTTTTTACAGTTTCTATGTGACTTGTATGTTGACGATACTACAACTGGATTTGATAATGTTGCTGATCCCTTTGAATTTTTTAAGAGCTCACAAAGTGATGAAGGATGGTGGATTCGAATTGGGAAAGTGAACATCTGACTCAGAAAATTTAATGAATCTTATAAAGTCTTGTACTGATCAAACTAACAATATGCGAAATCGAAAGGTGTTAGGACTAAGTTGGGATACAAAGTTAGATAATTTGTGGACGAAGCACTGACATTGCCACGAACTAAACGGTCATTATTAAGTGTTAGCTCAAAAATATATTATCCTCTTAGACTGTTGATTCCAATCACTACTCGATCTAAAATGATGTTTCAGAAAATATGTACAGAAAAGATGGACTGGGATGAACTCTTGCCTGATGATGTCTGGACTCAGTGGTATAGATAGTTAAAGAAATTGGTAATTTAAATATCCCAAGATGTGTATTATTTGACATGACTAAACAAATAAAATCTGTGACAGCTCAACACAAGCCTATACAGCATTATGTTATTTAAGAATTGAAGCTTATGATATGGTTGTTGTAAACTTACTTACAGCAAAAGCAAAGGTTGCTCCACTTAAAAGACAAACTGTTCCAAGACTTGAACTCTTGGGTTGTTTAATGTTAAGTAAACTGATAAGTTCTGTAAAGAATGCAATTAATGGTGTTCTTCATATTGAAAAGGTTTACTATTGGAGTGATTCAAAAATTTGTTTATCGTGGATTCATGGAGTAAATAAGGAATGGAAATGTTGGGCAGAAAACCGTGTTAATTCAATACGAAGTTTATCTAATATTGATGATTGGCATTTTGTTTCTGGAACTGTAAACCCCGCTGATATTGGAATATCAGCGGGGTTTACAGTTCCAGAAACAAAATATACAGTGGCTGGTGAACTTTAATTCAGATAAAACTCAATTTTTTAGCAAGGGAGTGTTGCTACATCGACTGAGAGTTTGGTTAGGCAGTCTATCATCTAATTAAAAAAAAATTATTCAAGTTTTTAAACTATTTCTGGTCTGGTTTATTAGCGCCCTCTTTAAAATTACAATTCATGGGAAAACCTTTTCGACTACCATGCAAGACTATAAATATATATATTTATAGTCTAATACAACTTTATATATATATATAAAGTTGTACTTTTCTATTTAATTATACTTATTTATATATATATAATTATACTTATATATATATATATATATATATATATATATATATATATATATATATATATATATATATATATGTATATATATATATATATATATATATATATATATATATATATATATATATATATATATATTGATCTATTTTGTAAAAATTATTTTTACATTATATTGATCACTCTCAAGTAAACAAGAGGATTTGTATATATATATATATATATATACCAGGTATACCGGTATGAAATGAGCGTTAATTAATGGGAAAGTATAAAACATTTTATTTCAGTATATTCATAGTATTGGCCATTGTTTTCTACACATTTTGACCACCTTTCTGGCAATTTGTGGATACCACGCCAATAAAATTGTTCGTTTTTTAAAGCAAACCAACCAGACACCCAATTTTCGACCTCCTCGTAGGAATCAAAGTGCTGCTCAGCCAATGTGTGTCCCATCGATGA